AGCTATTGCCAGCCACTGAGACTTGAGTTCGATCTCCAGCCAGGGAGGTGACCCTCATGACATAGCAGTCATGTCTCCTGTCTCGCCTGCTGCTCCTCCCAGCAGTGTATTTCAGTAGATCTGCCTGTTCTGCTCCCCACTCTGTCTCTGGTCAATCCTCTCACCCCCAACACAGACTCTGGCCTACACCCAGTTCTTGTATGCATAAATAAAAATATTTTTTATATAAAAGAAAAAAATAACAAATGAATATAGCAAAGTGGCAGGTTACAAAAATCAACATACAAAAATCTGCTACTTTTTATATATGAATAATGAAGAAGACAAAGAAATTTAAGAAAATAACTCCACTCATAATTGCATAAAAAGTCAAGGAAGTGAAGCACTTACACATTGAAAACTATAAGACATTACTGAAGAGCATGATGATGTAAGGAGAAGGAAAGGCATCCCATGGTCATGGATGGGCTGAAACAATGTAGTCAAACAACTGTCCTCCAAACATGATGTATGAAGTCAATGAAATCCCCATTAAAATACCAATGATATTCTTTAAACAGGGGTTTTCCCGGTGGCACAGTGTGTTGAGCGATGTGCTGTGAAGCTGTCCGCAGCCTCTACAGTGTGGGTTTTATTCCAGGCCAGCCAGGGAGAAATCCACATGGCATGGCAGACTTCTTCCGCCTCGCCCACTGCTCCCCTCAGCAGTGTATTTGGTCCATCTGCCTATTCTGCTCCCCACTCTCTCCAGTGAATTCTCTCACCCGCCCATGCCGCTGACCTGTACCCCAGTTCTTGTATAAATAAATCTTTTTTATTTTTTTATAAATCCTTTTTAAAAACACATTCTTTAAAGAAAGAGAACCAAAATATTAAATTTATGTGGAACAATAAAGTACCTCAAAGAGCTAAAGCAATTCTGAGAAAAAAGGAGAGAAACAGAGGCATCCCGTTACCTGCCTTTAAACTCCGCAACAATAATTCAAACAAGATGGTGTTAGACTAGAAATAGACACACGGATTAATGAAAAAATTGGAAGTTTAGAAACTATCCTACATATATATCATTACTTAATTCATGATTAAAGAGCAACAACCACACAAAGGAGCAAAAGATCCTTTAAACAAATGGTGCTGGGAGAACTGGGCAGCCACATGTAAAAGACAGAAGTTGGACACTTTCTAATCCCGAAAGCAAAAGTAAATTCTACCTGGGTAAACATCTGATATACAAGATATGCAATGATAAAACATATGGAAGAAAACATAGATGTTATGTTTCATGACATCAGTGATAAAAATGTTTTCAGAGACTCCACCCCTATCACAGGGAAATGAAAGCAATGCTAAATAACTGGGATTATCTTAAATTAAGAATCTTTTCTATAGTGAGAGAAAATAGAATTTTTTTTTTTAAATCCTGCTGAATGGGAGAAAGTATTCAAACATTACACAATCAACAAAGAGTTAATATCTAAGATATATTTAAAAATCTATTCAAATGAACAAAAATACCTAATTAATAAATGGGTAGCTATCTAAACAGATATTCTGGATACATGGAAAAGTGTTCATCATTGCTTTTAATGAGGGAGATGCAGGTCAAAACCTCACACCTAAGGGAATGGCACATATTAGGCATACCTCCAACAACAATCAGAGAAGACGTGGAGAAGGAGGAGCCCCGCTACATGTGGTGGGAATGCAAACCGGTACAACCATTTTGGGAAGTGATCTGGATTTACAATAAGAAACTAAGACCGGGGCCTCCCCTGGTGGCACAACGGTTGAGCGCTGGGCTGCAAAGCTGCCTGCAGCCTCTGCAGTGCAGGTTTGATCCCTGGCTGCCGGCGAGGGTCCCACATGGCTTGACAGACCTCTCCTGTCTGGCCCTTGCTCCCCTCAGCAGTGTATTTTGTCAGTCTGCCTGTCCTGTTCCCCACTCTGCCTCTGGTGAATTCTCTCACCCTCCCCACTTCTGACTATACCCAGTGCTTGTATAAATAAATAAATAAATCTTAAAAAAAATAAAAAAGAAAAAGAAACTAAGAATGAAATAGCATATGACCCAGCAGTCCTACTCCTGGGCATCTATTTGAAGAAAATAAAACCATCAACCCCAAAAAGTGTTTGCTCTACAGTGTTTACTGCAGTCTTATTTATCATAACTAGGCCATGAAAACAACCCAAGTGCCCGATGACAGAGGACTCGATCAAGAAGACATGGTCTAGCCACACCATAGAATACTGTCCAGCTATCAGAAAAGATGAAACATTGCCACTTGCAGCAATACAGAGCGCTTGAGGGGAATATGTGGAGTAAAGCAAGTCAGAATGACAAAGATGACTAAAGGACATTAACATGGCAGATAATTTGACAAAGTAAAATACTTACAACAAAGAGTGGAAGCTAATAAACAAAGCCAGACTTCTGTGATTCAGTGGGAGGGATTGGAGAAGGGGTCATAAAGGTAGGAGTGCTATCAGTGGGGGAAGAGTTAGAAACCATGCTAGTAACCAGCATGCACTAGAGGAGAAATCAAGTCATCCACCTCAATGTTTTACTGAACTTATTTAATTCTCACAGACATAGTTACATGATAGGCACTCTGACTATCCCCATTTTACAGCTGAGGTAACAGAAAAAGAGAGATAAAATAACCTACCCAAATTCATTCTGCTTGTCAAAGATAAAGCAGAAATTTGAACTCAGAGTGCCTGGCTGGAAACTCTGTCCTCTAATTCTTGTGCTAAATGCTTCCAGATACATGTGCACATGGCCAGGACAGTGTGATTATTAACTAAAAACATATTTCTGTAACAGTTTTTGCTACAATTTCTCTACATGGATAATTTTGAGTCAATTCATCAATGGGTGCTTATCGAGCATCTACTGTACTTCAGCCAGGGTGCCTCTTACTTTAAATCCAGGCATTTTCCCCCAGGTAATAAGCCATCTTTGAGACATCTCCAAAACCCATAAATTTTTACAGCATCATGAAAAACAGCTATCACAAATTAGGGAAATCCTTCTAAAGTGATTGAATCGTCCCATAAAATTAGCATCGATCCAGTAGAATCTCCCTTGACAACTGTATCTGGCAAGGTTCTTAGGCTGTTACCTGGGCTCTCAAAGCTTGCATAGAAATCTGTCATTTGAAATGTGCTTCACCTCATTTTCAGTCATGTTATTTGTGTTTAAATCAAAATATCTAGAAGTATGCTTGATAACAGGAAAAGCTACACATTCTGATACCCTTTGCTAAGCACCTTGCAGCCTTCACAGATGGATGGATGTACATATGGCCACATGTATCTGTGTCTATTGAGATGTATCTGTGTCTGTTTATTTTCAGTGATTTGGACAGATATCAACTGCACAGCTCAATGAGTTCTACAAAGCTGTACACCTGTGTAAATAATACAGGAGATAGGAGATAGACTGTCCCACCACCTAGAATGTTCCTTGTGTTCTTTTCTCCCTAGCCCCACTCCCAGAGGCCATACTGCTCTGATTTTGATCACACTGAACATTTTAAATCCTAAATACTATATAGGGGGTGTGCCTTCCCAGGATTGTCTAACTTGGAGACCTGTGCTCTTGGCCACCAGCATGTTTCACATCCTTCTAGCAAATCAACATTTCTAGATACCATTCTTTGAGAGATGAAGCCAGAGGTGCTAACTTCTCTCAGACACATCTCCAATGGCACTTCAGACACAGCCCTGAAAAAATGGTCACTGGGATCATTTACATTCTGGGATTCAGAGGAACCCTGTGGAGAGCTTACAATATAAACACCTCTAGATTGGAGAGGTGGGTCGATGGCTGCAGTGGACAGGAGCCCCCACCCAGGAACAGGGCTTCCTGGAACGGGCAGCCTGTGCACCAGGAGCCATCACACCAGGGCTGCCCAACTACAACTTTTCCTAGACAATTCAAACCTCCAGCCATGCATATGTTACACAGTATATTTAAATGTGTTGTAACTAAGTTACTGCTTTAAAAAAAAAAAAAAAAAAAAAAAAAAAACAGCACTTGGGAGCCAAAATGCGTCAACAACAACCCCGCCCTTGGCTTGCCAGTTTGAGCCTTGCTGGTTGCATCCTTGGCCTGGAAACACCAGTAGTAACTTTGCCAGTGAGCAAGGACCTTTGGTGGTGACAGCTGCCTGTAGAAGTCAACGTCAGTCACAACAGTGTCAGCGTCACACTGTCCACCACCTGCCCATTACTAACTTCCCTGACCTCTGGGGAAACAGAGGATATTGGTAAACACAGGCCAGGCAACCAACAACAACAACAAAAAAAATAAAAAATAAAAACCTGCCAATAAGACGGTGGAAGAGAATTAAAAAAAATAGAGGGAAAGAAGTCAAAAAAGAATAGTACAAGAGAGGACAGAAGACAGCCTATGTGAGCATGGGAGGGTCACCCTGATGCTGGCCCAGCTCACGTGCAGTCTTCTCTGTGGGTGCCCTGTCACTGATCAGAGTGAGGACAATCGGAGGTGTCCCTGATAAGCTCAGATCAAGGCATTAACCCTGACCTTGCTCCAAGCTCCAGCACCATTTTCAGCAGTGGAAATACTTGGGCCCTGGCATATAAATGCAGGTTTCCAGGAATTTAGAAACATATTAATTGGAAGTCAGGGAGCTCACGGTGTGATGCTATCTCCCCGAATCCCTGGCAAGAGGGTTTTTATCAGAGAGCTGTGTTGGCTTGACTTCTTAGGTACAGATGCACAATGGGTGCTGAATAAAGTGATCGCTTCCATGTCCTTGGCAGCCCAGGGCTCCATCAAGACAACCACAAGCACAGACTTCTGAGCAAAACAATGTCATGGGATTCATGCACTCAGTGGACCAAAGTGACCCCGTCCTCCTTGGTCCTGTGGTCCCGTGGACAGGCAGGCTAGGGGCCATGGCTTATATGCTTCCTGCATGTGAGGCAGTTCACACTTGACAACAGTGATTTGAAACAATAATGAAGACCCTCACCTTTCTGTGTTGTGGTGGGGAAGCCAGCAAGGGACAGCAGAATCTGCAGAGAAATGCAAGCAACACAGTTCAAGTAACCTGGAGAATTCAGCATGAAATGCTCACTCCTCTGCAACCTGTCTTGACTCTTCGTTTTGGCTCATCTGCCTACTTCATCCTCTCAGTTGGTGTCACGCTGCTCAGCCAAGAGGCAGTATATACTATGTCTAAAGTGTTTAGGTGCTCGCCGTGGACTGAGCACTATGTTCAGTGGCTCCAGGGCCCCATCACACGCAGGAGATAGCCTTCATGTTCGAGATGAAGAGACTGAGGTACGTGGAGAGGAAGGGACTTGACCAAGGTCACCTTCCTGGTATCAGAGACCAGACCTCAATTCAAAACACAGCTGGACTCAGTTCACAACCTGCACTCAGTTCAAAATGCAGCTGACCCTTGAATGATGAAGGAGTTGAGGTCACCTACCCCTGCCCAGTAGAAAACCTGAGCCTAAGTGACTGCCCCCAAATACAAATATGAATATAGCCCATTGTTGACGGAAACCTTACAAATAATAGAGGCAGCCAGGGCCTCCCGTTGTGAAGCTGGCAGTTGAGTGCCACACTGTGAAATGTCCACAGGCCGGCCAGTGGGGGTCCCACATGGTGCGGCAGACCTCTCCTGTCGCGCCTGCTGCTCCCCTCAGCAGTGTATTTCGTCAGTCTGCCTGTTCTGTTCCCCACTCTGTCTCTGGTGAGTCCTCTCACCCTCCTGCAACTCTGGCCTATACCCTGGATCTTGTGCAAATGAATAAATAAATCTTAAAAAAAAAAAAAAAAAGAACAGAGGCAGCCAATCAGCACTGTATGCATGATAGAGTAAACCAGAGGAAAAAAAATGCTATAGTGGGAATTCTGTGGATGAGAAGAGGACAGGGCTGTACTGTATTCTCATATGCTGTCAGTTCACACTGTGTTTCCTAGAACATCTGCACAGAAAGGGGCTCAGGGAGCTCACACCCATGTTGTTCAGGGGTCCAGGGCATCATCCATTCTCTTCTACTCCCTCCTCCCTATTGTGCTTCTGCTCCCTTACGAACCACCACCTTTGGTGAATGAAAGTGTGGTGTCCTGTTTTTGGGCAAAAACTTGGAAAATAATAGCTGTGTTGAGGGAACCCTATTCTGTCAGGGGAGGCTACTGGAATGTATCCAGGGAAGAGTAACGAGAACAATCTAGGAAGAGAAGAAATAATCCAGGATGGGATAATATCAGGATTATAAAAATTATACATTGTGAGAAACAGAAAGCACCTGGGGGGGTCACCTTCTGACCCCAATGGACAGAAGGGAAAACAGAGATGCAGTGATTAGTGGGTCAGAATCCATCCCAAGATTTCCTCCCTCTTTACCCCACTTCTGTGCCTAGTACCCCGACCCCTCAGACGGTTGAAGACACCGTGACAGTGACCACAAAGTAGAGACAGGGACTTGGGTTCCTCTGAGGTGGCTGGAGATGAGGAGGTGCCCCAAGGCGCCTGGTAGTGTGAAGAGGTTCTTGGCCAGGGGCACTGCTCACATCACATCTGCTGGCATCAGCCCATACTCTCCAAGCTTTTCTGCTGGGGATGAGTGACTGCACCTCATCCTTGTTTAACAAGCCCAGTTCTGTGGGCCAGGGTATGTCTACTTTCAACAGAACCATCAGGGAGCTTGAAAAATAGAAGAGTCCCCAACTCTAATATCAGAAATTCTGATTCAGTTGGTTTTGAGAAAGCAGAGGACCAGGTGATATCTGCAGGACCATCTCATATGAAGGTGCTATTATCACGTTCCTTCCTCTGAGTGACATTTGAAGTGTTCCTCAGCTGTCTTGAAGCCAAGGCACATAGCATGTCCCGCACAGCAACTGAGAGCCAAGAGCAGGCAGTAGGCCTGCTGTCCGGGACCTCTGTGATCCAGGGGCAGGTAACATGTCTTTTCTGCTCTCGGTGTTCACATCTTTAAAATGGAAGAGATGGATTCTTAGAGTAGTGTTTCCAAAAGCATTTGCTTATTCATTTATTGGAAAAAAAAAGAGAAACATTTATGGCCCAAATCATCCACGTCTACTGCACAGACACTCTCCATGCACTTCACTACTGGCAGATCCATTCACTGCAGGCACAGAGCCCCTCAGCCAGCTGGGCTCCCATTCCACACCCAGTGAGCAAGTCAAGACTGGCCTGCCCACCATGGTGACACTCTGGGGCCAGGGGCTACTCCTGTCAGCTGTGAGTTCTGAGATGACAGGGAATGTCTCTTTGCAATTGAAAGGGCAAAGGCTATTTCTCTTCATGTCCAGGCACCTCTGTCCTGACTTGGACAATTGTCATGGGGGACATTGCTCAGCTGCATAACTGCCCGGGGCAGACTAGGTGATGTCAACCTCTGATGAGAATGGGGTTTCTGTTACTTGCAGCCAAATGCAACCTTCACTGATGAAAAATTCAAAGTGTTCATATTAAGTCTCTTGTAAAACTCTCAAAGATGAAACAAATAAAAGTGTTGGGGGACATGGTAGTAAACACAGATGGGGTATTCTTTCTTGATTCCTGCAGTGGTTCATCCCTGGAACCAGATGGGAACAGGATCAGCTTCTCTTACGGTGCTGTCCCCAAGTCAAGGGATCCTAGGAATTTTGGAGGTGGGGGAGAGCTTGAGAATTCTCTACCAAATTTAGTCTTGTGATTTTCATTTCCTGTTTCTTTTTATGTGCTTATTTTATTTAGCCCAGTTGTGTTCTAGAAAACAGCTTCAATTCACAAGTAGCAACACAAACTTGAAATTCATGTGTCTATATTCATTGTATTATCATGTATTCATTGTATTATCATGCAACAAATGTTTCCATTCTCATTGTCATGAGTTGAGAAAGGATAGACATGAGAGAAGATAATGGCACATTCCTTCCAGAGGCAGGTTGATGTGAAGGGGAAACATCCAAGAACCAAGTGCCTGTCCAGGATAAAGGAGTAGAAACAGTCTAGAATCAAATTACCCTCAGATGACTGTCATTCCCTTGGGCATGGTGTGAAACACTGTTCAGTTCCAAGAAAACATCCTCCACCTAGGAAACCAATACTGACCATCTGGATGTTATCAGGACAGTTACTGTGATATTTACTTCATAAGTGTTTTAGTGTCATAGCTGCTGATGAATGATTAAGAGAGAGGGCAATTATGTTGGTATTTTGGGTTTTTACGTACCTGCATAGCACAATACAAATAATTAAATCAACAATGGGAACGTGGATTCTCCCACCTTTCTTGTTCAAAGGCGCCTCTGTATTACTCAAACTCAAGACATTCCATACAACACAAGATGGCTCCGATCCCTTCCAGATGCTCACATCTATCACTCCAACTTGCTTCTCTTAGGAAACCAATATTCATCCCTCTCACCAATAACATGGTGTCTGCCTTTGGAACAGGGTTTTTCAAATCAAAACAAAATTAAAGAAGTTCATTCTTTAATATAAGACATGTGGAACATTTCCTATTCCCTTTCCAAAGCCTGTCTTCATACTGACATGACCTTGAACACACTGAGTGCAGCGAGGTACCACTCTCCACCTGCTCCCTTCCCTCAGCTCCCCCCACAGGGGGCATATCTCTGGACAGAACACACTCAGGTTAAAAATAAGGCCCGGAGAGCCTGCCCCTCCTTGCTTAGGAAATCTGAACCCTCTGGGCGATGCCATTCTTACAAAATGTGCTTTCTGATTAGTTCCAGAAGGCTCAGCAGGGCAGACAGGCCATGTGGTTTCCTAGTATGCCCTCCCTGAGACCACGGTTTATCTACACCCTTTGTGGGCCAAGCCAATGCCTGGCAGTGTCCCCCAGCTCCCTGGGCTGTGTGTTCCTTCCTGCCCTCTGCCCTACCCCTACCCTCCCACCCTCCCCCTGCTCTGTGAGGTGAAGGGTGCGGCCCCTCCTCTCTCTGCTGCTTGCACCTCTACCCTGATTCTTCTCTACCCTCCACCCCCCCTTTTTTTTTCCTTTTAAAATGTCCAGGGAGCTGGATTTGTCCCTCCTGTTCTTCTAAGCAAGGGAGAATGTCAAGTTCCTTCCAAGTTTCAGGCGCTGCCTTGGGAAGCCCAAAAGCTGGAGCTATTTCACGCTCCTTCTCCTCCACACTTGCTGCACACTGAATCTGGAGTCTGACATCAGCCTCCCGGGAGCCTCCTCTGCCACTGGCAGTGGGCTTGGCCAGGGCTCCAGCCACGCCTAATCTGGATGGCATTTTGCTCACTTAGTAGGCGCCTAAGAAAAAACCAGAGCACAGCCACTGTCTCTCAGACTTCAGCCACACCCTCTGCCCCAGGTCCTGCAGTTCCCAAGCCCCCAGCCCAACCCAAACGGGTGCAACAATGACGGTGAAAAAGAAAATACCCAAGAACCATCCTTGGAATCAATATTCATTGTTCGGCCACTTTGTCTGAGAGCAAGACTGTGGAAAAAAATAAAATCACAAAACAAAATCGCTGGTGGAAAGTCCTGACTTTCTACCAACAGGACACACTGTCTGTTTCCTGGATAACGATGGCAACTGCTATCCCTGCCTGCTTCATTTCCCCATCAATCTTACACTCTACTAACAGCTACTGACTCAGAGATTTTAGAATTCTGAGGTAAACACATACCTGCTTTTACAGGCATTCTCTCTGACTAGTCAAGCCGCCTCTCTTGGGCTAGTCGAGAAGAATCCCAGAATCCATTCATCCACCCATTGCCTCCCCCAGACCCTGGTCCGGCCCCCTTTGGAAACACAAGGACTCCTGGTGGCTGCTCTGCCTGTGTCTGCAAAACAGTACTGAGCTTCAGTCCAGCTTTTCCTGAGCTCGATCTTGTCCTAACCCAATGACAGGATACTGTGTATTTTGTAAACACAGAGCACAGAATAGGTATAGTTTTCCTGGGGATAGGGGGTAAAAATCTATATTGCATTATAGTGACAATGTGTGAGGATCAATTCTGTAAAATTTGGTATTTTTAAAATGACACTCCTTTCAGCAAGGTCTAAAATAAATTCAATTGATCACTGACATCAACACACTCACATTATGTCTCTATCTTTTAACAAGGTTTTTGAGTAAACTATGGTTTTCTGTTGCTTGCAGTCGTCTCTAGTTCATAAAACACAGTTATTTTTTTGGAATCAAAATGCCAGTTACTTCTTCAACTTAGTCACATTGAAAAGTATTAGAGAAAAAGAATTACAAATGTTGATACACCGTGTTCCTAGACAAATACACAACTGGGCTCTGTGGTGACAGTCAAAATCCTTTATCACAATAAAAAATGCCAAGGATTCACACACATATCTGCACTCTGAAAGCGTGACCCAAAATAGAAACTTCAAACTCAGATTCCCTCCTAACACAAAAGCCATTTTTCTGTTAAAAATGTCCCTCTCAAAACTCTGAGGAAGCAAAGAACACAGTCTCACCTAAAACTGTCTTCCCTGCCAATGAACTGACTCTGTGCCAAAAAAAGTTAAAGACGGTTGGAGCAAAGTGACAACACAGGAGTTTACACACTTTCCCTTTCTCCAAGGCACTGCCTGCTCAACCTGAACTTTCCACACTGTCTCTGCCTTGCTGGAAATCATATCTTTCAGGAGGGGGTGGTGGAGAGAAAAGATGACAAGTCCACACCAAATATTTCAGCAGTGAGCTTTTAAATGTTCACACCCCCCCCCAAGAAAACTCAGTCTTTGCAAACAAACAGCAGGTTTAGGTAGTGGAGAGGAGCGTGAAGATACAAGAACGAGGCAGCACCCTACCTCCCCTCTGCCGTACAGCTGCGAGACTTCACCAGCAATCTCCGGGGTGTGCAGTTCTGGGGGTGCAGTCCAGCGCGCGCGATGCCTGGGGTGCGATGCTGGGGGCTGCGAGCGGCTGGGAAGGAGGCAGCTGCCCGCTCGTTCTGCGGGGTGTGAGCAGGCCAGGCCTGTGCTCAGCGGCTGCCCCAGTCAGATTTTCCAACAGCCGAACTGCAGCCAAGTCCCTGCCCATGCCTGAAGAATTTCCTGAACAGCATTCCCCTTCTTTTTCGGCCTGCTTTGAAACCCTACTCTGCTCTTCAATACGGCTTTGTCAGGCCAGCTCCCCGCTACTGGGCTGTCTCCAGCGATCGATGGGAAACACATGTGTCCAGCCCAGTCTCAGCCCACAGCAGCGCCCACCATGTGTGCTGGGCTCCCACTCCCGACCGCAATGGAAACTGCTTCTAGAACCCATTCAGATGGTGCAGCCATTCCCTCCCTAGGCTCCGCTCACAGTGTTAGAGGCATGGACTCTTTCTGGCTTGCTCCCTTCATGCGCTGTCTGGGCTGACCCCTGGGGACCCCCAGCTCTTGCCAGTCCTGATAACAAGCGTGTGACAGCTGGGAGAGCTGGATTCTAATTTGAGCTCCTACCTGCCTCTGCCTAGGTCTCTGCTCAAAGTTGCAATGTCTGGAGGGCGAACAGTATTTTTAGCTTTTCCAGGCTGGCTCAGCCCTTCCCACTTGTCCCTCATCCTGATGTGAGCATCTGGTGCTGCTACAACTAAAAATAATGCAATTATTTTGCAGGCATGTTACTTGCTCTCTGTTCAGTACCTGCTGGTCCCAAAATGTAACAATTTACCAGTTGTGGTGGGTTAGGGCTGTAAGAGAGAGAAAGGAGGAAAGCCTGTTCTTTTAATCAGAAGAATCATCCCAATTCTGAACACCTGGGACTGTTTCAGGACTAAACTCCATCAACATAACCTGTGTACATTTCACTGGATTTTGTAGTCTACCTTTGACATTCCCATTGGTTCAGCCACCTTAAATGAGAATCTTGGGGCCCTTGGCATCATTTTTTTTTTTTTTTTTAAGCTCAGGATTGTTGAGACTTTACAACCCTGAGCTTTTTGAGATTTTTAAAAAGATTTATTTATTTACGCATACAAGAACTGGAGTCTGGGCCAGAGGTGTGGGGGGTGAGAGGATTCACCAGAGAGAGAGTGGGGAACAGAACAGACTGGTTGAAATACACTGCTGAGGGAAGCAGCAGGCTAGTCAGGAGCGGTCTGCTGTGCCATGTGAGTCACGTCCCAGGCCAAGGATCGAACTCTTGCTGCAGTGGCTATAGATAGCTTCATAATGCTGTTCCTTAACCCATTTCGCCACCAGGGAGGCCCCTCCCTTGGCATCATTTCACAGGTTTTTTAATAGTACACAGGTGAAGCAAACCAGCAGGGGGACAGCCACTTGAGCCCCCTGTGAATCTATATGCTCTGTCCTCTGGGCTTTCTCTGGTGTTCTCTTGTGGGCTCTTCCTTGTAGCCATTCTCCGCCGCACCCAGGCTGTGTGATGCCACCCTTATATCCTCAGCCTCTGGGCTCACGTGTGAACACGCATGCCCACACCATACTCCAGATGTCCACAATCAGGCATGAGTACCCTGAGCCCGCACACCCCAGCGTACCCTGCATGAGCACAATCAAGGCCGCAGGTGACAGCCAGAGTCCAGCAGCATAAAAGCCTGACCATTTCACTGACACCAAAGGGACAGTCCTCTTCTCCCACACTGAAAACCCCACATCTAAATAGCCAAAGCTAAGTTGTCAAGGTAACATTGTAGAAAGAGATGATATAAAGAAAGAGCCTCATTGGTTTGTTTTTTTTTTTGTATGAAGATTTTACTTTGAAAACTCACACCCCATTCATTAGCCACTGGTCTAAAGAATTAGCTTGCCAGATTGCAAAATGTCTGTTATTGAAGGGCTGGTGTGGATGAGAGGATTTGCTGGGGTCTTCAGTTTAACCGGGGATTACAGTGGGCACTGTGGTCAGGGAGACTTTGTCTTGGGAAGGTTTGTGTGGGAAATGTGGGGGAGCCATACGCACCTGCCAAGGTCAGGATGCAGTTACCACAGCAGAGAACTTTAGAGCTGGAAGGAAACCCAGGGTTCCAAATGGTTTCCATCCCTCATTTCTTCAGAGAAAGGAAAGCCCCAACATGCCAAGGGACCCGTCCAGAGCTACAAAGGCAGGTAATGTAGAGCTGAGGATAAACTTGTGATTTGTGCTTTCAATGTGCTTTCTCTGTTTCAGCATCATCAGGAGAAGGCAGCGCCTTCTCACGTGCCAAGAGCAGATGTTTGGTCAGATGACCTGGGTCTCCTCTGAGCATTGCCTCTTACTGGCTGTGAGCCCTGCCCAGTTTGCTTAGCCTCTCTGGGCCTCAGTTTCCTTATCTGTGAAGTGGGGACAATAGTGGAAAAAAAGCTCATAAAATTGCTTGGCTTTGTTAAGAAAAACCTGAGTGTTTATTACAGTACCCATAAATAAATTTCAGTTTAGTTTTCTTTGCATTAATGGAGCAAAAGCCAAACCTCTTCTCTTACCTAAAAGCACCACTGCACTCACACATCTATTTGAAATTCCTAGCATAAACTATTTGATCGGCTAGTTTTCTGCTCCCTTACCTTTGCGTAATAAGGGCCCATTACCTTGAACAGAGGCAAGTATCTGAATTCCTTATTGGGACATTAAACCAACCACACAGTTACTTATTTTCTTCTGAAAATGTAACATTGAAGTCTTTCCTATAGGTAACTCACAAGAAAGGCATGTACTGAGAATCTATAGTCAGTTTCATAAGGCTGAGCCAAGCCCACCTGCAGAGAACCAGGCTTTCTTTCCAAATCTGAAGAGTTCAAGGTCACCATTCTAAACATCGCAGAGTTTAACAATTGCAATCCCATGTTTCGTAACTACATGTCCTTATTTACCACCAACAAAATAAAATCCCATCCATCAAGAAGAATGCTTCCTGAAGGCAGCCTCTGGGAAGTCCGAAGAATCAGATCATTTCTATCTGGGATTTGGGTGCTGTCTGAAAGCCAATCACAGCAAATGGCTGATGAACCCTCACCATCTTCCACCATGTCTGCGTCTAAGCGGCTTTCTTCATTGGCTGGGGCTTAGGAATGTTTGGTAATCAAAGAAATAGGTAACAGCTGAAAAACCTAAGCTGAGCATTACACCAAGGGGAAGTGATCCTAAGGGCATTGCCCCAGGATGTCTCTAAATGCTGCTACCAGGCTGTAGGGTAAATGAAGATTGTTGAGGCTTTTGTGTCATTGGCCTCTATGGCTATCACCTGCGCCTTGAATGCTGACGGTGCTTGGAAGCGTGGGCTCAGGGTAGGATGCAATGCCTGATGGACACTTGGAGTATGGTGTCAGCATGCGTAAGTGGGCACACCTGAGCTGACACCAAGGCTAGACGGGCAGCATCACAGAGGAAGATGTGGTGGAGAGTGGTGGAGAGTGGCAGAACTGCTAAATGGCTACAAGAGGAAGAGACCAAAAGATGATGCCAGATAACCCAGAAAGAGTAAAGATTCATCTGCCAGGCCCCTAGCACCCCAGCCCCCCTGCTTGCCTGCCTGCCTGCCTGCACCTACTTGTCTCACTACAAATGGTGTAGAAAGATCATTAAAAGCCTAAAAAACCCACTGAGGGCTCCTGGACTGTCCTTAATTATCTGCCTGGATAGATAGAGAACCTGCCCCCGTGCCTTGCTGGCATAACACAGTCTCACCTCAGTGAGGGGTTTGGTGGGTGATTCAACTTCCTAATAACTAGCTGGAACATTCTGAAAAGTTACTTAGTGCTTCTCATTAAAACAAAACAAAACAAAAAAACCCAGCATTTTGTGGTGTTAGTTTGTTACATTCTAGGGTCTTGTATTGTAGATGAAGGACAGCTGCCAAAAAGTGATTGCCTTGTATGGGAAAGATCTTTGAGAATTAACAAGTATCATCCACAATTTGAAAATAAACTCAAAAGGTAGTCCTGTTCTTTGAAAGTCCCATATGGCCATTGTCTGATGTGCTTGCTCATGATTTGCTGATGGAAATTGTGCTGTATTCAAGCCCCTGTTTCCTACAGAATAGAGACCTCAAATTTTGTAAAGTGACAAGTGACCTTGGAGACTTTTGTCTGTGAGAGACACAAATTATTTCTCTCTAATAGAAAAAATGTAGTCAAAGGAGGTGGTTTATGGTGCTATGGGACATGAGCTGGTTTAGTACCAGTTTTACACTAGCAGCTTTTATGAATGCACCGTAACAAAGGAATACCTGAAATTCTCAGGAGTAGGTCATGTTGTTTTTTGGGGGGGGCATAGAAGAACTGGGGTGTAGACTAGAGGTGTGGGGTTGAGAGGATTCACCAGAGACAGAGTGGGGAACAGAACAGGCAGATCAACTAAAATACACTGCTGAGCGGAGCAGTGGGCGACAGGAGAGGTCTGCGGTGCTGTTCGGCCAGGGACCGAACTCAGGCCATAGTGGTGATAACGCTGAGACTTAACAATATTTTCTTGAGTCTTTCGATGATTCTAATACCAGCCAGACTTAAAGAATCACTCAGATGAAGTGAGAATTTTTAAAGCATAAGCCTAATTGTGTGGCTGCACTAAACTCCTTTTGCTGGCTTCCCATGGCCGGAAAGGGAAAGGCAGCAGCCCCCAATGACTTGAGAGGCCCTTGTCAACTTCTCAGTCTCTGCAGCCGCCACCCCGTTCCCTTGGTCCTGTGTTAAAAAAAAAAAAAAAAAAAAATCACATCTCTTCACCTGAGAATCTTATGAAAAGTTCTTCTCTCCTGGCAAGATTGTTTCTTTTGCTTGGTGGTTACTCTCATGCTCATCTATTTAACTCCCCATCCACCTTCAAGTTTACACTCCATGCCCACTTCCAGAATTCAGTTATCCTAGAACCATCAGTCCCAGTTATATATGCCCAAGGGCTGGCACAGAGTGTAGATGTGACAATATATTTATTTATATTTTTATTTGATTCAACTCAGTCTGAATCAAATAATGAATATTCCCCACAAGAGTAGAAGTCAAGCCTGTTTTGATCATTTCTCCAACCTAGTCCCTGCTCCATGCCTTGATCAGTATATGTTATTGTCAAATGAAAATAGGATATTTCCAGAGTTTTGCTTTCAGCCAGCTGTGATACAATGAGAAATTCTAGACCACAAAGAATTTTGAAAGGACTGATGATGCTTTGTGCTGAAAAGACTGCATGAAAAACCATCTATACCGTTATGCTGCTATTTGTTTTAATTTATTTCTATTTAATGATATTCTGAAAGAAGTGCACAGCAGATATTTTTGAGCGAGTACAGTTTTGTTTTGTCTTTAAACTTAAGTGCATGCTATTTACCATAGCCAAGATATGGAAGCAACCCAAATGCTGCCAAAATAGACAAATGGATCAAAAGTTGTGGTATATTTATACATGGAATATTACTTAGTGATCAAAAGACAAACTCATGCCATTTTATGGCGACTTGATGGAGCTGGAAGGGATTATGCTAGCTGAAATTAGTTGGAAGGAAAAAGATA